GTCCTTCCTTACAAATAATCTGGAGGCCTTCACTGAGCCTAGGTGTTACGCTGAGATGTCGCTTCCCTATTAGGAATTACAGGAAGTTTTCCACACTTGCATTTTTCTGGAGTTGATACAATAACAATTTGTATATATCGTGTTAACAAATAATATTAGCATTATATACACAAACATTCTCCATTCAAAGTTATCCTGCATCATGGCTGCCACTTTTTAAAAAAAAATCAAGTTTGAATGAAATTGAACTAATTGAACTCTCTCATATAACATCTGAAGCAATTTTAAATGCTTTTGGATGTACGTACGTGTAGGACTACATGTAAACTTCTCCTCCTCCCATTGCCCATTGATGCAAGTAATTCTGCCGACTCCCTCCATTGTATATTGATCACGGCATTGATAAGTTACTTTAGAGCCAGACGTGTATTCCGTCTGATCTGAAGTGTCAACAACAGCATGTGCAACTTCAGGTGGGTTAGGGCAGGGATTGCCATTAGCTGAAAGAGATAAAAACACTTGAGTATTAGGTTATACCTCATAATCTCTCTATCAATGCCTACATCTACACCTACACCATTTTCTCCTGACAAGCGATTATCTGAGCGATGTTTCCTTCCTTACAAATAATCTGGAGGCCTTCACTGAGCCCATATTTGTTACGCTGAGATGTCACTTCCCTATTAGGAATTACAGGAAGTTTTCCACACTTGCCTTTTTCTGGAGTTGATACAATAACAATTTGTGTATATCGTGTTAACACATAATATTAGCAATACATACGCAAACATTGTCCATTAAAAGTTATCCTGCATCATGGCTGCCACTTTTTTCAAAAAAAAAAAATCAAGTTTGAATGAAATTGAACAAACTGAACTCTCTCATATAACATCTGAAGCAATTTCAAATGCTTTTGGATGTACGTACATGTGCACGTAAAGTTCCTCTCCCCCCATGTCCCATTGATGCATGTAACTGTGGCGACTCCCTTGATTGTATATCGATCACGGCATTGATAAGTTGCTTCAGAGCCAGACGTGTATTCCTTCTGACGTGAAGTCACAACAACAGCATTAGCAACTTTAGGCGGGGGAGCACAGTGACTGAGAATAGCTGGAAGAGATGAAAACATATTCAGTACTAGGTTATACCTCATAACCTTTATAAATGCCTACATCTGATAAAATAAGAATGAGGATGACTCACGTTGACAGATTTTTTCGAGTGATGTTTCACTGTCATTCCATTTTCCCTCATCACACGTTAAGCGAACAAACTGAGCGACGTATCCTTCCTTACAATTAATTGTGACACTTTCACCGTGCATATAATTATTACGTTGAGATTCCACTTCCATATGAGGAATCGCAGGAAGTTCTCCACATGCGCTTTCCTCTAGAATTGATACAGTAACAAACAATTAGGCTGGAATATTACTAAATAATATTAGCAACATAAACAAAATCTCTTCATTCAAAATGATCCTTTATCAGTGCTGCCACTCTTTCAAAAAATCAAGTGTGAATAAAATTGAAC